GCCTTAGGATACCCCGCGGTCTATTTTCCTTTCTTCTGGTAATGTGAAGTTTACATTTAAAATTTCTGCCTCTGGTTTGAAATCCTTATTTGAAGACGATCTTAGAGTCTCCCTCCTCATTTACATGATAGCTTGAGGCTGCCGATGAGTCTTTAAGCCAGAGATTTAAATGTATTCATTGAGGTCAGTTTATCAGAATGTATGGCCTTCTGCCCTGAGCCGGATAGCAGCCTGGCTCTGGATGCAGTTGGGAGACTCCTAATAAAGACCATCCGACTCCCGTCTCAGGGAGGTGGAGGATTCACAGAGCTGAGACTACACAATTAGATTCTACTTGCAGGAGCTCAGTTGGCATTGTGATTCTCTGGTAGCTGTGTCTCCAGGAGAGTCATTAGCATAGTCAGAGCCTGCAGGTTTTATTGCTCCTTCACGAGATTTCTTCGGCCCTTAGTAAGCTCTTCCAGAAGGGTGCCCTCCTGGAATAAAGACAGCTTCACTTCTCCGGGCATCACAAGACATCTGTGGTCAGGGCTCTGCTCCTTCTTGTTTCTCTGCAGTGAGGTGCGGCTGTTTCTCAGTGTTTTATTGCACAGTAATCAGCTCTGTTAGGCTCTGGTTCTTCTCTGTGAGAAGCGAATGAGGTTGCCCAGGAAAGCCGACATCAAGGGACCTGCATTAAAATCACCAAACAGACACAAATATTGGACTTGCATTGTCTGACTCTGGCCTTCCAGTTAGTCCACTTTGGGGCCATCTCTCTTGTTTTTCCTATCTTCTGGTCAGTCTTAGTGTCCCCTCCTCTCCCTGTTTGCTCTTTTGTCTTTTCTCTTGGTTAGGTCATTGCCCTATCTAGCCAACTTTCCCTTCCAGTCCTTAGGTAAAGGGAGGGAGCCCGTGCAGAGCACTGGGTGGAATGCTCGGTCTCCCTTTCAGTGAGCTGGTTTTCTTGACCTCGGAAAAGATTTACAGCCTCATGAAGGAGGAAATATGCAAATCAGCAGATGTAATAATACTGGTGTTCTAGATAAGAGGGATGTGTAGGCCTCTTAGAGGACTCAGATCCTGGGTTCACTTGTTCTGTAAGACAGTAGACATCAAAAGAAAGTCCATCTCCAAGGGATGATAATTAACTGACTCATGACTACATATTGAGACCAGACTGATTAGACAAGAAGTGGAATGTGTACATTCCAGGCGTGAGGGCACACGAGTTTCACCGTGCACTTGGAGGCTCCTGTAACTGCCTCTCCTGGATCGTCACGCATCCTCATTTCATGTCTGTCCTTTCCAGTTCTCCTGGTGCCAGCCTTCTTCTTTCTTTTTCTTTTTAATTTTAAAGCAAAACAGATAATCATAACAATGAAACTGAGTTTCACAACAGTTTAGCAGAACAGTTACAATAGTTGATACATTGTACCTGCTTATCTTCCTAAGAGTTATTCAGAGTGCAAGATATAGGCTTGATGCCTTGTCCAAACAGGATGAGCACGAAACTTTCTTTTCAAGGAACTAAGAGAAACTAGTGTGTAACATCTTGAGTAGCTCGTGTATACGCACGTATTTTTTCTTTTCCCCTTTTCTTTCCCCTTCCCCCATCACAGTTTGTCTTTTCTTGAGAACCGTTTCTTTCCAATTCACAGTATCTATTGTACATTTTGGATCCTATTTACTTGTTCAGTTTCTCACATTAGAGACAACACAGTCTTTACACATATGGGTTTGACTTATTTTACTTATGAGTATGGTCTTGAGTTGCATCTATTTACCTACAGAAGTCTCCCGTGAGGGGCCAAGGATTTAGCTCAGCGGCATAAACGCATGCCTGCCAAAAAGCCTCCAGCTTATTCTGCTTTTTTTTTTTTTTTTTTTTTTTTTTTTTTGGTGCTGTGGTCAAACTTATGACCTTGCATTTGCCAAGCAGGCACTTATGCCGCTGAACTAAGCCCCTTCTTTATGTTTATGTTTATGGTTCAGTAATATATATATCATATTTATATGGTTTATGGTTGAGTAATATATATATATAATATTTTTATTTATTCCTTGGTTGATAGGCATCTGGGTTGTTTCCAAGATCTAGCTATTACAAATTGTGCTGCTATAAACATGGGTGAACATACATTGCTGTGGAATGATATTTTTAATTCTTCTGAGCAGATACTCAGAAGGGGAATAACTGGATCAATTGGTACCTGCAGTCCTATTTTTTAACGGAATCTCCGTACTGATTTCCACAGTGCTTGCATCAGTCTGCAGTCCTACTAAGAGTGGAGAAGGTTTCTTTTTCCCTACAGCCCCTGAAGCATTTGTTATTGGTTGAGTTCTTGCTGTTGGCCTTTCTTTTGGGGTTGAGATGGAATTTCAGTGTTGTTTTAATTTGTATCTCTCAAATGACCAATAATGCTGAACATTTTTTCACATATTTGTTTTCCATTTTTATTTCTTCATTTTAAAGGTATGTATTCATCTCAGACACCCATTTATGGATTTGGTATTTGAATTTGGAGGGTCTGAGTTTTTTCAATTCTAGATGTAGGTCCTTTGTCTATGGAATAACTGGCTATAATTTTTTTTCAAATCTGTGGATTGTCTTTTCATTTTGTTGGTCAGTTCTTTCGCTGTGAAAAAAAACTTTTAATAAGGTGAGATTCCATTTGTTGATTCTTTTGTAATATTTTCCTTACGGTCTGAGCTTCGTTCATGAAGTGTTTGCCTACACCTCTGTCTTCTAGATTATCTCCCTATTATGTCTGCCAGTAAATTTAGTGTTTCTATTTTAATACTTAGATTTTTCCCGCATTTTGACTTTAGTTTAATGCATAGTGATAGACATGGGTCTAGTTTTAGTCTTTGGCATGTGCAGAGCTAGATTTTCTAGTGTTATTCATTAATGAGACTATCTTTTTCCAGTGGATGAGTTTGGGTGCCAGCTTTCTTGAGAAGGAGTACAGTAGCATTTCCTGACACAACATCTGACTTAATAGAGAAGGACCTTAAGGTGTTGGAGTGTGTAGATTGAATAAACCCTTTGATCCTTGTGCAGTCTGAGATCAGCTGTTTGCCCTGGAGAAGATACTCTCCAGAGTGCTGCCAGGCCTGTGCCTTGGTTTCCTCCTTTCATTAGGCAGGAGGACTAAGCTTGGGTAAGGCTTTTATTGGAAAGAGATGCCCAGATTCTAAAGAGCTGAATTGTGCGCTAAATTCTGGTTTATGACCTCACTGTGCATAATTTAAAAATCACATACTTTGACCTGTGTCACATGTAGATGAAAAATAGGGCAGTTCAAGCAACCAAATTGGCCTCAACAATCTTTCTTATTAAAAAAAAATGTAGGATTAATAAATGCTCTGTAATATATAGTGGGAGATTACCAGATTTGGCATTTAGTTCCTTCTGAGCTGTATACTCCTCATCTAGGAGACTGGAACCTTTCAACAGCTCTGTCATTGGTCCTTTTCTCATCCTCCTGCCCCTCCAAAGGATTCTGCAGCATTTCCTGGGCTTGGTTGCAGAGGTGAATGCGGGGAGACTAGGAGACCTACCCTCCCTCACCACTCCAGTGTCCTCTGTGTAAACACAGAAGTGTAACGCTGTGCGCACCTTTTGTTTTTAACAGAAGGCAAAACTCCAAGCATCTTGGCTCTATACCCTCAGCAAGAGAATCCAAAATCCCACAGGCTTGCACAGTCCCTCTGTGGTCCACCACCTCTCACTGAGCAGTTGCACCACCTCACACTCAGTGTTGCCAGAAGGTGTCTGTGCTTCCCCACCTCTGACATCCCCACTCCACCCCTCACCACACATACATACACACACACACACACACACACACACACACACACACACACACACACGTGCAGCTCTCTACCCAAGGACCAAAGGCTCATTATCAGGGTCATTGCAGTCTTGCCTTCAGGAAGAAGTTCCTTTTCTAGCTACCACAAAATTTGCAAGGCAACACCTTCTCTAGCAGTCTGGCCATCTTATTATTATGCAAAAAGTATGCATAATTCTCTTCCTCCAGCCTGTGCCCACCCTCTTCCTCCTCCCATCCAGTTTTGAATTACATTCTTTAAGCCTTCTGGGAATCAGAGAGGGGCTATTGTGGGGCCATATACTTCTCCAAGGCTGCTCTTTAACAATGAGATGCTTTGCTATTGAGGTTCCATTAAGGAATAGATTAACTCCTTATCTGAGAGTCCGCTTTACCCTCAATTTCCAACTAGGCAGGACAGGAGGCCAGGGATTAATCTTCCCTTGCATGAGTGTAGGTAATTGATGACCCGTGTGGTACAATAGCCAGACCACATAGTCTGAGAGAGGATTTATTTTTTCCTGAATCATGGTTCATTTTCATCAAGTCTTACAAAGGAATAAAATCAAACTGGATCTTAACATTATGTGTAGCATTTAAAGAATCACCTTCCCCAAAGAAAAGGAAAAATTGCACAAACTGTCCTAGAAAACTCAGTCAGCACAGTCACCATTGCTTTACAATATATAACTCCAGCTAATTATGAAATATGTTCAAGTCTTTAAAGAAATCTAAAAAAAAAAAGTCTTTAATATCTTAGCCATGTATCCTGGTGAGGCTAAAATTGGGTAAAGGCAAAGCTGAATGCCAAATGATAATTTCTGCTAAATAATTCAGGCCATGTGAACTCTGATATTTTACTTACTTTAATGAGTTTAATGGGTGCAATTACAGGCTGCTTTTCCTCATGGTGCCAGACACAGTGTGCTCTTGCCTAATTGTGGGCTCCATTTTTCTTTAGGTAACTCATTTCTGCAAAATTTCCCTGTAATCCTGGTATCTGATGTCCGCAGCCACTACAACAATGTGTGTGGGATCAGGCTGTGAGCCAGCTTGGTGGTGATTATAGAGGAGAAGACACTGCAGCCCGAGTGCCAGGCTTTTCCAGGGCAGAGTGGACTGGCAGGGGGACGTGGAGGGAGTAGGCTGCCCGCTGACACTGTTCCCTCTCCTTCTCCTCCACAGGGAAGCGATGCTGACCTGGTGGATAAGAACAAGTGCTGCACGCTCTGTAACATGTCCTTTACCTCTGCGGTGGTGGCTGACTCACACTATCAAGGCAAAATCCACGCCAAAAGGTTAAAATTGTTGCTAGGAGAGAAAACACCGTTAAAGACCACAGGTATGTGTGTGACGGTGACCCTGGGGAGACACTGAACACCAAACACTGCATCTATCAGGTGACCCTGCATGGGTTCTGGAGAAGCAGCTGCCAGCAACAGGGTGTACACAGCAGGTGTCACACGAACTCCAGAGGATGGATGTGTGGCCCCAGCACACCTTGCTGGCATACATCTCTGAATCCCATTTCTGTTCTTCTTCTGGTTAACAATGCAGCAGCTGTCTCCTCCTGAAAAGCTGTTTATATGCTGCAATGTGCTGTCTTTCCCATCCATTGTAAGTTATGTAAGACACCGCATTTATTAAGGTCTTCTCTAGACTCAGGCTGTAATCAGCTGGATAATGGATGGTGTATGATGTATAATTGGTAAATCCTCTATCAACACTGTGCAATGAAGATATCGTCTTGTTTGTACCTTGGAGAGAAGGGAAGAGAGAGGAAAATCACTTGGGTTTGTGGACAACCAAACTTTTTATGGGATTTCTGTCATCTTGCAGCAGATCCCGTGATCCAAGCCCCTTCATCTTCCCTAGTAAAAATTGGGGAACCAGCTTACTGGAGCTTGGAAGTGCTTAACTAGAAAGTTTTGCAGAGGGCTATCCAATCATGCAACTAAAATTCTGCTATAATTTTATAAATATAGACTATTTGGACAAGCTCTATGTTGTGGTGAAGGTCTTACAAGATGGGGTTCTAACCTGAAGAGGCTGGCTAGGGTGATTTTCATGAAGCCTACTTTTGCAATGCAGTTAAAATTTGGCCCTGCATTTTATCTTGCTGTCTAATGAATCATGAATAAGTCGTGGGTGTAATTATTTTTTAAATGGTATTTTGGAAATTGGAGAGAGCGTAAAAGAATGCTTGGCTTTTGTCTTCATCAGTGTTTTTCTTCAGAACATGTCTTCTTTTACCTAGAGAATATGAAGGAACATTTTCACTATATTTTTCTACTTAGTCTAACTAAAGAGCATTGTTTTTATAAAGGTGGCTGTGACATTCAAGCGCACAATGGGGTTGTAAAACACATGAATTCTGGAGCCCAGCTCAGCTTATTTCGGAGCACATCATGTGGTTTGGCATTTGATGAGCAGTCACTGGGCTGAAACTCCCAATTCTTGCTCTCTGAAAGGTTAAATAGTCACCTTATAACCTACTCTTCATCAAATCTCTTAAAATAGATACCTCAGGGGAAAAAAAAAAAACTGTCACTGGAAAACTTTTACCTGCATTCCACGAATGAGTCAGCCACTGGTTTGCCTAAGCAGAGTGCTGCTGCTGCTACATTTAATTCTGAAGGTGGTGGTCGAACAGCAGAGGCTCTGTCTTTGTTTATTACACTGATTACCAAATGGGAGAGTTGTTTCTTAAAAAATTACCACATGCCAGAGTGTTCTTTGTGAATTTAAATGCATCCTCAAGACAGCCAGACACCAGATTGTTTCACCAATTCAAATGTCCTCAGAGCTGGCACCTAAAACTCAGGGGTAATTTATTGCGATCATCAACATGTTCCAAGCAGAAAGCAGAACCACATGACTGGCAGCCTGCACTCCATGGTGCGTCTCAGTTGGTCCTCACTGTTGCGGACAGCAGGGTGCTGGGGGGACAGGAGCAGGTGGGACGGTGAGCGAGGGAAACCAGCAGCTGAGTGGGGGAATCACATGCTAGCTGCAGTGGACTAGAACCCCTCCGTCCCACCTGGCTCCCATTTCTCCCCTGGGCTTCTTCATCCGTTTCCCCCTGAAGTGGCTTTGGGCAGAAAGGGTCTTGGAAAAATGGTCTCCAGACAGAACTGCAGCATCTTGGAAGCTACACAGGTCCCCAGGCTTGGGCTGAGGTCCGCACAGTGCCTGGTGAGGAGCACAGTCAGCCACGCACCTGCTGGAAGGAGGAGGGGAGCCACTGGGCACAAGGGTGACCAGAGAGAGGAGGTGATAGGAGCCAGGGTTTAAAGGTGACGGGAAGACAGCGCCTATCAGTGCAGTGCGTGAGTGCAGAGACTGTGCAGCTGCTCAAGCAGGAAAGTCTGGCTGGGGAGCAGAGTTCAGGGCGCAGTCCTGGTTTTCCAGAAAAAGGGAGGTTATTACAGCTATAGCAGGATGCCATCCTTTAGGAGCAGGGCACTGTGCTGGTAACTAAGATAGGGAGCAAATTAGGAGGCAGGTTCTTGATTTAGGGTACAGGTTGAGGCCTAGTCTCGATTTGCCTATTATAACAATAGACCAAGGCCAAGAGGGACTAGAAAAGAACACCCAAGCCATGGGCTTCCTCCAGCACCTTGGCAAGGTTGGCAGCACTGTCTTTTTTTGCTGTGTGCAGGGGGTCCTGCAGCATCTCCCAGGGGCCTTCTGCCCCCAGGCAGAGGCTGCCCTGGTATGTGCAGGAAGCACTTGGCCTAATCAGTCAAGTCATCTGGAAAGTAGGTGCATCTCCATGCAAACAAAACAAAAAACAAACGAAAAAGAATACGTGAGACTCAAGGAGCTGAATGAGGATGCCGGAGAGAAGCAACTCCGGGTCAGGGATGTTGCTTGAGCCAGCATCTGAGAGAAGAGGCTCTTGCGATTTCTGTGGGGCCGTTATTGAAACTCCCCGCTTGAAACTCCACCCCTGGGGTCAGTGACTGGGGCCTCTCCATCACGACCTGGCCTCCAGCCTCCATCTGCATTTTGATGAAGCACCACGGAGGACCCTAAAGCCTTGGCTCGGGTTCCAGTTGCCTTCTCCAGATAGGTGCCTGCTGATTAGAACTTGGGAAATTCCTAGCAGACCCACTGCAAACACAAACCAGTTCCGGTTGTCTCTGGTCAACATATGTCAAAAAATCTGTCCTGGCTCATATTTCTCTGATCCTCCTGTGAAGTGTAGGAGGGACCCTCACTCACCATGTGCTCACAGGGCCCACAGATCTCAGTGTGGAGATCCTGCCCTGCTGGGAGATGTGGAGGCTGTGGTCACTTCTGGGAGCAGAAACCAGAGAAGCCACTCTGTGAGGAGGACCCAGAGGACACTCAAAGCAAGATATATTGGTCAACTTTGTATCACTGCCACAGATATCTGAGACAGCTGATGTATGGAGAAAAGATCAGTTGGTCCCATAGTTTCGAAGCTTCTGATGTGACTGAGTGTGCACACTATGTTAGTCCTGCAGAAGGGCAGGGCATCAGCATGGGTATGCATCATGGATAAAACTGCCCCTATGATGGCCAGGAAGTGAGAGAGAGGAAGAGAAAGGAGCAAACGCCCCTCAGTAGGTCCCACCTCTCTGAGGCTCCGCCTCTTCCCTGCAGCATTACAAGCTGGAGGCCCAGCCTGTAGCACACGGGGTTTTAGGTGACACCTAAGATTCAAGCTGCGGCATTGGAACTGCTGGAAAACTATCTCATTAGAGCAAAAGGAAGCAGGTTGTTCAGCATGGAAAAGCGATCACTTGGAGGCAAACCTTTGGAAAGTAGTCATAGGAAAAAGTTGTGGAGCGAAAGTGTGTGTGTGTGTGTGTGTGTGTGTGTGTGTCTATGTGTGTGTGTGCATACACGTGTATACATAAAGTATGCTTGAATACAACCAGCCTAACCAGCAAGTGGGTAAAAATCAGGGAGCCAGGCATGAGTTCAAGCTGAGGGCTCCCCTGGCACTCAGAGGAGCTTCCGGTGCAGTGTGGATCTGTGGGAGCTGTTGGTGAGGTGGGTGGAGGCCAGGTGAATGTTTCCAGCGGGGCTTCCAGCCTTAGTCAGTGCCTCTCTCAATGTCATTTGAGGTCCCTCCACTGCTGAGATCCTTAGCCAACCACCGTCTGCAGACTGCACTCCCTGACACAGTCCGGCAGCAGAGAATACTATCTGTCCTGGAGCCTGGAGACAGCTGTCAGGCCCCGCGGCCCCTGCTCACACACTGTGGCAGCTCCCTTGTTCCCCGGCTTCCATGCCCTTCTCTGTCATTCCCTTTTAACACCATGCAGTGTATCTCACTGGCTTTCATACTGTCAGTGTGAGGGTGCAGCCTAGCTCACTTCCTTGTCAGAGCTCTGAGTTTCTGTTACTGTGTTTTGGGGTGCCCTTCTGCTACCTTGTCTAGGAAACAAAAGGACACTGTGTTATATTTCTCAGGAAATAGACCTTTCTAGGATGTGTCTTGTGGACTGAGACACGGCCCACATGCCCCGGAGGAGATGCAGTAGCTGTGGACATGGAGAAGAGATCTCAGAGGAGGCGGGAGTCCCAGAACCAGGAAGGCAGCAGGCTCTGGACAGCAAGGAAACCTTGCAAGAGGAGACCAATACAGCCAGCCGGGAGGGCATGGGCCCCCGGACTGGCAAGGAAAGGCAACAGGAAACAGTTTTCTTGGTGCAAAGTCAAGATAAAATTAAGAATTGGGGGTGCCAAAGTGAGGGTCCCAAGGTGTTGAAGAAGCCATGTTATCAAAATAGAAGTCCAATGCTGAACCTGAAAGTCAGACTGGCGTGACATTCACCGTTCGCTTTAGATTAGCAAGAAGCCTGTAGCAGGGAGCTGTGTCTGTTGTGCAGTGGGTACTTCCAACAGGGGCCTAGCAGGAGCCTGAGATGTCTGTGAGGCCATGTGTTGTGTGACGACTTCCTCCTTACTTCTATATGTGAGGGACATGTCCATTGCACTAGCTGGTACTTTTGTAGCTCTTCATTCCCCAGTGGCCACTTGGGTGGCCCATGGAATACATGTTAGATAGCTGCATGTTGGCTGCTGTTATAGCCAAGAGCAAAGACTCCGAAGGCAAAATAACCACCCAGCAAGATGTCCGTGTCTCAATGTCCTGGACATGTGGATGTATGTTACCCACCAGGGGAAGCAAGGCTGCGATGGAAGAAAGACTGCTGGTTTGCCAACTTTGCAATGCAGAGATTTCCTGGATTATCCAGTCTAACTACAGAGGTCTTTTAAAGTGAGGGAGGGAGGGGGAGGGGGCAGCATCAGAGTGACGCAGTGTAAGGACTTGGCCCGCTCCTGGTGGCTTTAGAGTTGGAG